ACAATAAAAAAGCAAAGAATGTTATTAACTTGTCCACATTTTTAAAAGCAGCCAATCATATAAAACACATAACTTTAGCAAAGACATGTGTGAAACAGAAATAGGGTTTATAAAAGTTAGTGCACTCTGCAAACTTTCCTAACCCAAGCAAAATATCTCCTTTGCATAATGTAGACAAGAACTTTTTAATGGAGGAAGAGTGTTAAAACTGGAGCGTGAGCTCTTTTTGTAATAGCCATATTTCAATCACTTAAAGGTTACTAATAAATTCTATCTATCTTTAAGAATGTACCTTGAAACAAAAAAAACACAGTTGGAAAAAGATATATCAGTTATTACATCTGATTTAAAATAAATATGCTCTAGACATTGATTAAAAGGGAAATGGTTAAGTGATGTACATGCACTCTAACACAGCCTTTAAGTCATGTTAGTACTTTAGCAACGTGTAGAAGTACGCCTAATATAAAGTTAAATGAGAGGAAAATAAAGAGCATACAAAATTATATGTATGATTACAGTAATATCAAAGATATGGACTGGAGTGAAAACTAAATGGAAGTGTACTGAAAGAAGAGTGATGTGCTTTCATTTTCTGTTTTTTAGGGATTTTTTGTGATATACTGCATTAAAATGTATCAGTAACCCCCTCCCCACCTTGTATCACAATTAAAACATACACTTGCCACACAGAATAGCCAAAACCTAGTGTGAACTAGTAGCACTGACTATTTGCACTGGTTCTACATTGAAGAGATAATATGCTATTCTAGCAATTAGTAATAATACCCAACACCTAAAATACACAATCATCAGACTTCGTGTCTAAAATTTGGTGACTTAAAGATGCAACCATCTATTCTTAAGGAATAGAAAGGAGTACTCTCAACAGTTCTAGAAAGATGCTTGTAACTAATTTTATTTTCAGCATTTTTCATTCACTAAAATAAATAACTCTAATAAACTAGAGTGCTATAACATCGTACTTCGAAAACCATCTCTAACAGTTTCACTGCAGAATAGAATAAGCACTGCATGCCAATATATAGTCTCCCAAAGTAGTCCTGAAACCATATTCTCACACTCAATATTTTAAGACTATTCTTTTTAAAATCAGAGATACTCAAATTTCCTTTTGTCCTCCAACATAAGGGAAGCATCAGTTTGTCTAGAAAAACAGTTCAATGATTGTTTTCCAAGAAAAGCAGTGGAGAATGTACTTGAACCAATTTTGACCTCCAAAATAAGTGAGCCAAAAAAATTAGTTGTCTATTAATACCCACATGTCAAGAACTATTTAAGTATAACAGAATTAAATTTTTTATAGTTAGAAACACATTAGGAGTTCAAGTTATTTGATAGTTTTTATATGTAGGCACATTTATTTCTAAAAATTTTTTTTTTAAATCTTTTTTTTTTAAGATTTATTTATTTATTCATACAGAACTGGGGTACAGGCCAGAGATGCGGAGGGTGAGAGGCTTCACCAGAGACAGAGTGGGGAGCAGAACAGGCAGATTGACAAAGTACACTGCTGAGGGGAGCAGCAGGCGGGTCAGGAGAGGTCTGCCGCGCCATGTGGTCACCTCCGGGACAGGCGGGAATCGAACTCATGCGGAAGTGGCTTTAGTTTCTTAGTGCAGTGCTTTAACCCGCTGTGCCACCAGGGAGGGCCTATTTCTAAAATTTTTAATTGGGAGATTTAAATGCTTCTTTCACAGTCCAGTTCTTAAGTGTGTAGCCTCAGAAATCTAAATTTAATTTAAAAAGACAAACACTAAGCACAGTAATTGAATTCTCTAAGATTCAGGTGATATTAGCAGACTTAATGTCAACTACTTCCTTTACATAGACTTTTTCTGACCTTTAATATTAGACTGGAACTTTTCTGTCCATTGGTATATATATTTTGTATCTGAAGTGCCTAATAAACACAGATAGTATGCAAACCTAGTTTTTCCTTACAATTTGAAAGGCAGTATCTTCAGCGCAGAATCAGTCTATTACAACTCTCCATCACCAACCTTAATACTTAATAATTACAATATAATGTTTAAATTATCTATTAAGACATTTATAACTGTGTGATACAAACACATACTAATGTACAAATACCTACTAAACAACTTTAAATCTGAATTTGCCCAGTATTTCTTAACTAATTTTTAATATTTTAGCAGTGCTACTTACAAGAAGTTTCTCAATTTAAAACAGAAATATTTTCAAAATAGCTATTTAAAAACAAAATATACACGGCCCTCTCTGGTGGCAGGCGCAGCGGGTTAAAGCACTGCACTGAGAAGCTAAAGCCACTTCCGCATGAGTTCGACTCCCGCCTGCCCGGAGGTGACCACATGGCGTGGCAGACCTCTCCTGACCGACCGCTGCTCCCCTCAGCAGTGTACTTCGTCAATCTGCCTGTTCTGCTCCCCACTCTGTCTCTGGTGAAGCCTCTAGCTGCCCCTGAGCCTCTGGCCTGTACCCCAGTTCTGTATGAACAAATAAATAAATCTTAAAAAAAAATATATATATACAACTGTGTTTTGGAGAAATAAGAGAAGGAAGATGGTACCACTAATGAATTTACTGGAATAGTATATGGGAACATTTTATGCTACATGTGAATTAACTGTATATTTCTGTCTTTTTTTTATTTACTCCTTTCAATTAGTATTTATTTACTCATAGTATTCTCCATCCCCATGAGAAACACCCCAATTTTAAGAAGGAATTTAACCCCCTAAACAACATTATTTTCTCTTGATTGGTTGCAAATAAAGGGAGTTCTAAAAACACAAACACTTGATACGAGAAATTGAGAGCTTGCATTACATTTTCTGTGAAAGCAAACCTGTTTAATAACTTCTCAGAACTTCAAATCATTTTGAGTAAAATCCTAAGAGATTTTATTCTGAGATATGCTGTCTATTAACACTCTCTGAATGTAAATTTTCTGAGTTTTACTAGGAACAAATTCATTAACTAAATTCCCCTGTCACTTAGCAATAAAACAACTGCAAGGAGATGGAGATTACTTATCATCACATGTGGTGGATCACCAACTACCTCCCTCATTCAGACACACTCCTCTCCTTATCTTACAATTCGATTTCTAAAATCAATTCTGCAACTGCACCCTGGGAGTCAGGTCATTATTAAATTCAAAGACCCTTTTAAAAGTCTTCATCCTATTTCTCTAACTTCTGGAAACACCTCTTATATTTCCCCTAACAGTCTAACAGTTCCACAATTCCTATGACATCTTGGGCAACTTTTCTTCTCATTTATTTCTCTCTGCTAAATTTAAGCTCTCTGTGAATAAGAGCACAAACTCGATATTCAAAATAACTGAATTCACATCCTGACTAGATACGTATGTTCTGTACATGATGTAGGCAAGTTACATAACTTCTATATTCTTAGTGTTTCTTATTGGTAAAATTAGAATAATAGTACCTATTTCATAGAAATTGTGAGGACTATATATACCAGTAAATACAAGTAAAGAATGTATAACAAAGCTTTGCATAAAATAATTATGTGTTGGCTACAGGAATAGTGGTACAGTAACAGTGTATATATGTGAAAAAAAAAATGCTGCTACTACCATATAATTATAGTAAAACTACAGATTTAACTGTGGATGTCAACCTTAAGCAAATGACTCCTGAAAGATGTTCCAGTCTTATTTCGAACATCCCACCAGTCAATTCCATTTGGAATTCCATTTGGAATTGACTGGCTCAAATTCAAAATATCTAAGCAAAGTCATCATTTCACTCTTTTCTTCAATTTCTACATTTAGATGAACTATTCTAATTTTCCATTATTCGTTCAGCCTCCTAAGCTTAAAGCTGAGTCACTTCTAAGTCCTATTTTCCTTTTGTCCCTTCTAGTTGATTAGATAACAAGCACTGCAGATTCTACTCTCCCTCTCCTTTCCCAGATCCACAATCCTAATCAAGGTGATCAAAGTTCTCAGTCCCTCAAACATGAATTTTTGATGTGCTTCAAAGTTAGACTTTCCCCTTCATTTCTTTTCTACATAAAACACTGGTTCCCATCACATTACACTTCTATGTTACTGGTCTCCTATTGCTTTGTACAACAAAGTCTAAACTTAGCTACTTATCTTTAAAGACTTTAAAAAGTCTCTTCACATTCTATTCATTATTTGAGACCTAACTCAAAGCACTTATTTTCAGGCCTCCCTGGTGGCTTCCAGGTTAAGTCTCAGTGCTCTCACCGCTATGGCCTGAGTCTGATCCCCAGCCATGGAGCTAAGCTACATATGGTGCAGCATACCTGTCTCACCTGCTGCTCCCCTTAGCAGTATATCTACCTGTTCTGCTCCCCACTTTGCCTCTGGTGAATTCTCTCACTCCTGCTTCTCTGACTTACACCCCAGTTCCTCTACCAAAAAAAAAAAAAAAAAAAGAAGAAGTACACATTAGCACTAACCAGAAGGTACCAGTTCATTCAACTTTCTCAACTTCTAACATCTCTCCTGTTCTTTCCAGAATTATATAATATTACATGTTGTCACCATATTGTTTATTTCATATTATAGCCTAAAATTTATTATGTATAATAATGAGTTACTCATTATGGCCCTAAAAAAGCAAACTATTTCTTGCACTCTTTGGTTACCAGTTGGTAGGTATTTAATATGTGTCATGTTGTGACTACTTGGGGAGTTTCCAATATTGAAAACTTAATCTCTAAGGCAGTGGTCACCTTTCTTTCTAAAAAGGGCCAGATTTTAGGGTTTGCAGGCAATGGACAGTCTCAGAGGCACATAGTCTTCTTTAACTATTTAAAACTTCACACTGACTGGATTGGCAATAGGTTACCAACCCCTACCTCCTCCAAGGTGCAATGCAGTGTTAAAGAGTCTCTACAGTTAAGCATTTTAATTAGTATTATACTAATTTTCTAAATTAAGCACTTAACATGGCTTTGTAGCTCTAATATAAAACAAGGAATCCCTAAGTTCTTACCAGCTCTTTCAGACTTCTCTTTCTGTTCCCGTAACTCCTCTCCCTGAGCAGTCATCTGTTTGATGCGACTACGAAGTTGAGCAATTTCTTCTTCCTTCATTTCCAGGGTTTCATGCATCTGCCGTTTTGTCTCTGCTATTACCATTCCCTAAACAGAAGAACAGATTCTAAACATTTGTATAACAAAAGTGCATCATCAATAACACTCTTCAAACTTACTTTAAATGACAGAAGACCTAACATTTCTTATTAAATACAACCTTAAGTGTTATTTCAGTATTTAAAAAAGAACTGTTTTGTATACTATATGCTACACTAGATACTACAGTAATATTGGTTACTTGGCATGATTTCAGAATATTTTTATGTAAAAATTATTGTTAATAGTGAATTTAATCTTTTAAGCATTAAAAATACATTTCACTTCAAAGACTCATTTTAGAATTTTTCTATAAATCTTTGCTTTAGTTTCCCCTACCTTAGTAAACAATTATAATGAACCAAATATACCCTCTTGTCTTTGACTCAGTGCCATTATAAGAACTACTGACTTGTTCTGAAACATGGGGAAGAGTCTCAGAGGAAGGTTACTGCTGCCACCCTGGAGCTGACTGCCTGTTTTTTCCCTTTCTCTCTCTCTTTTTTTTTTTTTTAAAGATTTGTGCATTTATGCATAGAAGAGCTGGAGTGTAGGACAGAGGTTCAGGAAATGAGAGGGCTCACCAGAGGAGGCCCTTTTTCTTGTCATACCCATGACCTCATCTACCACCCCATACTGCTGCCAGTGAGGCATGCCATTCCTCCAACTTGCTAATCGTTACTATCATTCCAATCTCTGGATAAGCTACACAAGAAATGATGGTCATAAAAGTGATCAAATGCTATATATTAAATCAGTCATTGTGATTAACAAAAAAAGGGAGTGGTTCAACCTATCTTTTAAAAAGACCAAATTTTATGGTCTTAAGATTTCTACTTTACTTCAAGGGTTTGTTAACTCCTGCTTTAGTGTATGGCCAATATTAATAGACAGCTAAAACCAAGTAAATGGGGAATTATGATGTAAAACTTCAAAACAAAATCAAAGGTCTTCGGTTTCTTCAAATGCCAATTCACAGAGGAAAAAGAGAAAGAAAGAGAGGGGATAGTAGCCGCTAAATGACAAGAAGTGATGAGAGTCATATCAACAAATTGCTATGAAAGAACCTATTTGGATCCTATTTATTAAAAATGGGGAAAAGCTATTTGAGACAAAAGGGAAAACTGAAAGCTACCTAGATAGCTGATCATAGTAAGTATTACTACTTAGTTTTTAGATATGATCATAATAATATGGCTATATTTTTATAAAGACAGAGTCTGTTATTTTAAAAATATATTAAAATATTTATGGAAGAAATGATAAGATTTCCTGGATTTGTCCTAAAACAATCGCTACTTGAGGATAATGGGGGTTGGAATATACAAATGAAATAAATTAACATTAGACTGCTGAAGCTAGTGATATTTATTTTATTAATATATCTACATTTATAAATATTTTGTGTTCATAATAAAACATTTTTAACTTGTTTATGGAGTAGAATCTAGCAAAACATTATAGAATAAAAAGACTGGCAATGCATTTCAATAGAACAACACTGCTATGTTAATTACATGGTCACTAAAATACTTTCACTATTAAGCAGTATATTAGTATGTTACTAATTTGACTCAGGCCAAAACTGAACATGAATTTTTTAGTTTAGCTACTACTACAATTACAGCTGCTGCTCTAACTCTAAACTGCCAATCTCAGTTATACATTTTAAAATCCATTTGCAGACTTGTCTACTTATGCTAGTATCACTTACCTACTTTTTAGCAATTTATCTAAAAGACTAATCTGTTTCTATTATATTTGAAAGACAATATTACTATCATTCACATTTAGTAATGCCTTAACTATGCATAATTTAATGTTTCTCTTAAGTGTTATATATTATAAACAGATTTCCTTCCCAATAGTTATTCTAAAATATAAATCAAAATACTGATTGGAATACAGAAGTCACAGAGAACCAGCTTTACATGATACAAAACTAAAACTAACAGTTACATAAATCTAGAAACTAAAACAAAAAGATATTTCAAAATGGAAGCAGCTGCAATAACTTTGGAAAGCAGAAAGCTGGAATGTTTCCAACTGCTTCTAAAAGTGAATTTTTGGGGGTCCCTGGCAAATTTTAGTATTGTAAGCTTTGTGGTTTTACCTTATCTTGTTCAAGCTGTTCAATTAAGTTCTTTGCATCACGCAACTGAGTGATAAGTTTAGTCTTCTCAGCCATATGAAGCTCCTAAAAAAATTTTAAAAATTCATTTCCATCTCTAATAAAGCTTCTCCTTAAATGAGAACTCTAAACATTTTATCTAGTTTGGATACATCTCATAGTCTAGTAGAGAATAGGACACAAGGTGAAAGGAGGGGAAATGTGAAGTAGCCCAGGGCACATCAGTGCCATCTGCAGGCTCTCCACAGAGGAAGGGGAAAGACGTTTCAGAGGAGGAGGAGGCCACGCTGGGACCTATGCATCTAGCTGTACAGGGTTACATCAAACCAATTAATTTGCTCTTTACCTTAATCTTTTCTAGTTCCTGAAGTCTTTCATCTAGTTGTTCTTGCAATGCCTCCTTTTCACTGATTAACAGAGCACATTGCTCCTTATGTGTCTGAATTGTTTCCTTACAACGCTGCAGTAGATTCTCTTGACGCTTAACTCGTTGCTGAAGTGTTTCCAATGTTTTAACAGAAGCTCCATCTCCCACTATTAACAATAAAGTAGCATAAGCAAGGGCAGTCAGTAAGGAATATAATGGTTCCTAGGAAGGTTACTTTTCTAGAAGCACGGGAATATATTCTTACCCTAATGCTCTTTTATTGAGGGTAAGACCAACGTGAGAGAGGGACCCCTTAAACTTCCTCTCTTACTATTTTGTTAGAACTTTATCTGAAAAGGCTTAGTAGTGTGTTTATGTCTCTGGTTCCACTCACACCAAATAGTACACAACACTCGGTAGTTAACTAACATTAACTAGACCACCCAACTTAAAAGACAGTTTGATGACAATCCTGTGACTGAAAAATATCACAAGAGGGTTGATAAAACACAGTTAAGGCTAACAAGGTCATACCTTCCAATATCTCCTTAGATGATTTTCTCACTATGGAACTGTATAGACTATACTTACATAAGCCTTCCTGATATATCCATCTACACCTAGGTTTTATAGAGGGAGCAAGTTGTATATGTAATCCACTTTTGGCAGATACTGTTATGCAATATTCCTTCCAAAGAATATATAACTCCAAACTTAAAGAGTAGGTAGGTGATTGCTGAATTTTAAAACAATACTTAACTGTCTCTTCTTTTCCAGTTAAAAAGCAAGTATTAGTTCAAATACAGGTAATTTTGGATATAGAAATAAATAAACAACATTACTTAAAAATTGAAATGCCCAATTACAAATAGTATATTCATTAGTCCTGAGCAGAGCTGACCTATTTATGTGAAATCAGCTACTGTTATCAAGAAAACAGGAGAATATAAATGAATTTAAATTACAATAAAACAGTACACCAAGTACTTAGTTACTGTCCCCTAAATAACAAAAACACTTAACAAAGAACTAAAAGCTCTTGCAACTTTCTAGAACTGTTAAGATCAAGGACATTTTACTTCTAGCTCAGCTCATGTCCATTAGCTCATGACCTGGAATCTCTTGACATCCTTCTCTAGTTTTGAATTAACCTTTTGGGAAGATGCAGCTTACCTACTGGATCTGCATCATTCTCCGTATTCTCTTTAAAGCAATCTTCACCCTGTGGGTCCATCTGAGGGAGTGGTGTGGGGAAATCAATATTCACTGGACCATTCCGTAACCGTTGTTTCAGTAGAGAAACCTAAAAACAAAAAATTTGCTTCATCAGAAAAACTGATTAGAAATTATGACAGTAATAGTTTCTTTAAAACAGAGAAAATAAATAATAATCTTTCTTTGCTATGTTGACAGGGAAAATAAAACAGTGATTTTTATATTCACTATTTTGAATATCTTAATTAGCCAAAAGACACAATAAATTAAAAAATTATCCTTAAAAATTTGAGGAAAAGCAAGGAGTTTTAAACACTTTTCTCAACATTTGAGACCTACTAGGTAGATCATCAAAAACACATTATTTTTCTTTGTCCAAAATTCTCACACTTTACTTTAAATCTTTTACCTGAGTCTGGAGAACACTAATATATTGATCTTTTTCTTCTAAAGATGCATCAAACTCCTCTTGGAGATGTTTCTTTGCCTGCTGGTCCATTTGGAGCTCCTAAAACAGATAGGAATTCATAGATAATTTTCACTATAAAATAAAAATACAAATTTGAAATTTTCAAAGTAATGTTGAACTTGAAATTTTTAAGTAATGTTGTTTATTTATTTCTACATCCAAAATTACCTGTATTTGAACTAATACAATACTTGCTTTGAAAATTTGATCAGAAACATATCAATCTGTATTTACATTTCTCTTATAATAAGGTGTTAGCAACAATAATTAGAGGATAATCAGCCTTTAAAACATTATTATTTACACCAATTTTGTTCCATAAAGAACATGAAGATTAAGAAGAAAAATTATACATTTATAGCTCTAATGACTGCTGATAGATAATGTGAAGTGAATTTAAAAATTAAGATAAAATTTAAACTTTATCCTACTCTACAACACCTTATTACTTGTGCTATCTTACACTTGATGTAAAACTAAATTGTCATTCTATTAAAAAAATGTCTTTCTCCTCCATTTAAAACATGAAATACTCAATGACAAAAATCAGAAACTTCCTTATTTGCAAAATGTTGAATTTGAATTAATTCATCACTAAACAGTAAAATTTTAAGTTTTTCAATTATTTAAATTCCTTTAGTTTATTAAAGAGTCTTCTGAACTAAATCCAATGATCTTTATCTCTCTGCTGGAGCATCAACAATACTACCTCCTTATTTGAGGTAACTGCTTTCTGTGGCTTCAGGACTCCTGTTTCTATTCCTGTCTCTTCAGAGTTTTCTCTATGTTCTTCATGGATTTATTGGTTTCTATCTCTCTGGGCTCAGTCTTCTATCCCCAGTGCTTCTCCCTTACACTTGTTCCAACAGAATGTTAGAGACTATCATCTGGAACATATTAGATATTTCATCAAAACCCCTTTATTTTTCTAGGAGTCCTAATTTTCTAGTTCCCTATACCCAAAACACTCGAAGTCATATCCTACTTATCTTTGTATATATAATGAATTTTTTTACTTTCCCTACAATGTGAAGATCCTAGCCTACTTCCATATACACAATCATAGTTTAGATCTCTATATAATTTTTTATGATTAATTATCCTTCATAGCATTCCATAGAGAAGTCTTACCTCAAGTCTTCCTCTGATTTAATCCAACTCACACACATTAGCTAGAAGATTTTCCTTAAATACTTTCAAGGACTTATAAACAACACCCACTTATTTTATTGTTTCAAATTTACGAACTTTCAAAACACTAAGGCACTAACTGTCCTCTCTTCTCCTCCACACCGACCCTGCTCCAAGGTCTCTAAGCACATTATGCTGCTCCTCTCGGTAAAGACTCCTAGTTCGACATCCTCCCATAGCAGTGGTCTCCAAATACTGGTTTCTGATCCAAGAAATGCCCAGAATGATATTTTCACCCATCTACGGTGAAATAAATAGAAGGGCTCTTCCTAAATCTGACAACTGTACTTTATTCTAGGAATATGCCTTTCCTAATGTTTTTACTATTGAAGAAAATGTTCTTATGAAATAATGACAATAAATCAATCTGATTACAAAGTCCTCCATGACTTTGGACAGGCCTATTTTTAGTCTGGAATAGTTGCATATCTCTTAAAAAACCATGAGTCTTTAAAATTTATTTCTTTTAAATAATATCCTACATCCTACCATCCTATATACTCCATTACATTGGCATCCCTAATAGGACATAAAAACTCAAGTTATACCTGATTTTCAGGTTTTGAATGTTTTCAGCTCATCTAGAGAAGCAGTCTTTTAGTAGAATTGTTATCATGTTTGTTTAATCATGTCCTCTTTACCCACCCCTATTTAACAGCTGCCATTTTATCAATAAGCACTCCATAAACAATAAAGATTAAAGTTATAAAGCAACTTAAGAGTTGTATACTTATATACCAACTGACCACAGGCTGGCTTGCCAACTCTCCAACACCTTCATGATAGGGACCTCAATAGCTCCAGTACTGGGTCCTAGTATCTAGGGCCACTGTCTTGTTTTAAAAATTCTTGTAATTAGACCCTTACAATCACAGAATAAGTCTAATCCTTTTTCTATGAAATATCACTTCCTAAGTCTGAAGATAGAAAAAAATCCAACCCTAATTTTTCTTCCAACAACCTAGTTTTCTCCCACTATTCCCCATCTCAGCAAATGACAACTGCATTCATTGTCACTCCCGTTCACAACACACGGGTCACCTGTATTTATCCCATGTCCAAATATTAGCAGATCATACTGGCTCTACTTCCCAAGTTGGTAGCAAATATGACATTTCTCAACACTTCTATCCCTATCATAACGATTACCATCCTTACCATTGCTGTAAGAATCTTCTACCTGGATTCCACATGTATTCTTATGCCCCTATAATCCAATCTTCAGAGAGTAACTAGTCTCGGACCACCCTCTCTACCTTTACTCAATTTTCATCCCTTTGTGCTTACTTTATTTTTTTTTTACTTGAACTGTTTTTTATATGATGGTGTAGTGTGTCTGTATGTCTTACCAATAATAAAACAAGCACCATTCAGTTATGAATTTCATCTTATCAACGATTTTAATTCTAGTATCTTAGCGTGTATGTACATAAAGCCATTATAATCTACACTTCTAGTAGCTTGACACAATAAATATTTATTGAATACAGCACAATATTCCCTGGCCTTCCCATATAAAATATCCCCAACTTTTTCAACTACTCCCACACGAGCATTTCAAGGTTTATCATCACTCCTATCTTTTTTAATACTTCAATAATTTAACCAAACCTCTTTCCAAAAAAATGATACCCTTTCCCAATTATAGGTCTTACCTTAAAATTCAGTATCTTACTGCATGTTACAAAATAGAGATTTTTTTAAGAATTCAAGATTTACTATTATCTGACAGTTTATACATCAACAGCAATCACCAAAACTATTTTGGTAAATGTAAGCCTATGGGGAAAAGTAACTCTTCTAGAAATTAAAATAAACTGTATTTTCAGTTTAAATCAGTAATGATTTAGAAAATATTATCAACTTACTTTTTCTGCCATTTATATAACTGATAAAGATCCTTCCACAGTTAACTTCTTAAACTAGCCCCCTCCTTAAATCACAAGAATAAGATACTAAAGTATAATGCAATTAAAATTTTAACAATAATGATAAATAACTCTTATGTTTAAGTATTACAAGATCTGATTATTTTAAGAAAAATAATTTCTTAAAAGAGACATTCTGGTGAGTAGAATGTTATCAAATACCTTAACTGTCTCACTGTTTTTTATCTCAATTCTCTGTTACCCATTATGCTCAGAAGTGATTTCAAGCTACAAAATATGAGCTCTCCCTCCCTGAAGTTAGTGCTGAGAATAGCAATTGCTTATAACAAATTGCATCTGGGTGAGCCTGCATGAAGTACATGCCATACACAGACAGAAGACAATGTCTTTATTCATTCCCCATTTTACTGACCTTAAAAGGAAATCAGAGAACCCTATTTACTTAGACGGCTTCATAATTTACAAACGTATAATTACATCTTCCTCATAGTATGATATTCCAGTTTAATATCTGTTCAGGCTATATGATTTAATGGCAGGCAAAGGAAATTACAAAGTATCTGTTAGAAATATTTTTGTTTACTTTTTTACTTCATTTTGTGACTTATTAAAAAATATCTACCATGTTAGACACTGACATAACCTATAATATTTGTCTTAATAGAGCTATTTGCTTTGTTTTGTTCTGTCCTCCAGAAACCACTATGAGAGATGCTCATGTATTCTATTCACGCATATACTCATGACTACATGGAGAAGGAAGAATTATTAACTGCATAAAACCTAGGATTTAATGTCTTAACCCTACTCTATAAATACACTTATTCCATAAAAACCATACTGGATTATAAGACAACAAGCAAAAAATATTAAGTGAAAAAACATTAATAGAAAAACATTTAGGGTAAAAGTGATTATTTAGCTCTTTCATAGAAAAGTTCTAAAAGCACCTTTCTGTAATATAAAGTGACTGAGAAGGAAAAGACCATGAGCTCCAAGTCTGCCCATGCTCACCTGACCTGGAAGTCACCTTTACAGCAGTGCTAGGACTCAAAAACAATGCATGGGAGGCTAGAGGGTCAGCAGCAGAGAGTGGACAGAAGTGAGAAAATAACATTTAGGGCATCTCCTTTTTTGGTGAACATTAAGTATAATTGTAGAACAAATCTAGTAGGTTAAAAGGGAAAGAATAGGTATGTAATGACCTATGATTTAACAGTATAGCTGTTAAATGGAAAAGTGAAAATTATATATAAAAATTCTTTCATTTCAGTAATCATTAATGGATTCTGGCAACATTAATATTGTTATGCAAAGACCGTTGTACTTGGATTTAAGGCAAATAAATAATTTTTGGTCACTAATTTGTCATCAGATTTATAAACAGATGAACAAGCAAGGAAAACATAGATGCCGGAACGTGTGATTTAATAAACCATAAGAGATATGTCAATTTTTTTAGTGTGGGCAAGGCTATAGTGTTTAAAGGAGAAAACTTAGGTGGTAACACCTTAAAGAGACACAATGAGGTACAATAAAAATCAGGTCAGTAGTTACTGTTGGATAAAAGAAGGAGGCATTGACTAGGCTAAAAAACATGGAGGGTTTTTTGCAGTGACTGGCATCATTCTACTTCTTAACCATGGTGGTAGTCATAATTGTCAACCTCAGGGGTCATGGACCTAGGACAAGGAAAGAACTGAGTCACAGAGATTTGAGTGAGGGACTGAGCTCCAGGCTTCAGTGTCAATCTTTATTTTTCCAGGGTTTTTATTTTCCATGTTCTCAGCATTAGACAATGCAGAAAGCATTCTAAACACAACATAAATTAAACATTTCACCATAGACCTTATTTTGACCTTTTACTAATTAACTGTGAAAACTGTATGTGGCATTAACTCATGCAGGCAGTACTCATGATTAAGACAGTTAATACATCATCAAATTAAGGCAGGCATTATAAAGGTAAGGATCAAAGTTAAGCATTGTGAAGTTTTCCGAGGAACATTTACCACCCCTGCCCACACCAGGAAGGACGTTCCTTGTATCCAGATGATGAGTCTAGGGAGAACCTAGAGTTTGCTCAAGGTTCATCCTGGGAGGTCTGCCGATGGTCACTTAACCTCGAGGCCCATTTTCGGGTCTTGTTTGCAGAGTGCTCAGTCTCTGGTCACAGTGAACTCGCCATATTCCACAGGTGCACCTGGTGGGACTCTATTGTTTCTCCACATCAATAATTTCAACATATACATGTAAGACATATATACCATTTTATGAATGATTTTCTGTGTGTTTTATTTTAGATTTGAAAGATTTTTCAATCTTCACAATAAATGATACAGTAGAGATACAAAATGCTATTCTACAATCAACAAAAGCCAATTCTCCCTCTTCCTCAAGACAGGTATCATAGAAGCTGATACTAGTAAAGCATGACTGCAAATGATAAATATTTGTTTGGATTCTAATACTTCACTGTAAAAAGTAACCCTCCCTCTAAATTATAGTGAACATCACTTTAATTTTACCAAAAAAAGTTTCAGTTATCAAAACAAAACAAAACAAAAACCTGTGGGGGGCCCTCCCTGGTGGCACAGAGGGTTAAAGCACAGCACTAAGAAGCTAAAGCCACTTCAGCATGAGTTCACTCCCTGCCTGCCCTGAAGGTGACCACATAGTGCAACAGACCTCTCCTGACCCGCCCGCTGCTCCCCTCAGCAGTGAGCCTGTTCTGCTCCCTGCTCTCTCTGGTGAATCCTCTCACTGCCCCTGTACCTCTGGCCTGTACCCCAGTTCTGTATGAATAAATAAAATCTTAAAAAAAAAAAAAAGGCTGTGGGGACTCCCTAGTGATGCATGGATTACATGGATTAAAGTCATTGCTGTCAAGCTATTGCCAGTCACTGCAGCATGTGTTCAATCCCAAGCCAGGAAGCCGTCCCACATAGCACAGCAGATCTCTCCTGTCTCACTCACTGCTCCCCTCAGTAGTGTACTTCAGTAGATCTGCCTGTTCTGCTCCCCACTCTGTCTCTGGTGAATCCTCATACCCCCTGTACTTTTGGCCTACACTCCAGTTTTTATATGCATAAATAAATGAAAGTATTTAAATAAAAGGCCTGAAATACATAACAGAAGGGACGATTTAGCCTTGGAAGTGGCCACTGAATGTTCATATACAGGTATGATGTTATAATGCTAAGTAAAACATTATTATTTCACTAATTCCAACAACAACACATATCTCATGAAAACCACATAAATAAAACTAAGGATTGAGCCCTCATCTTGCAGACTGAGCTAGTTAGTTAATACTCTATTAAAGTGCACATGAAGCCATTGCATCATAGACAATAATCCAGGTAAATAAGAGAAATTTAACTATTGTTATTAATCACATCTACTTACCTCTCTTAATTCTGCAATTCTCCGAAGTGATTTATCCTGACTCTGACTTAATATACCCTTTAATTAAAAAAGAAAAAGTTGGTTCCAAAAAACTGTATGACATACAGAGAAAGTCAAAAATTTATTTATTTATATATATATAATAGTTTATTTTTACATCATTTTGTACATTTATTGTAAATCCTGTGGGTCAAAAAATTATTTTTACATTACAAATGTATATCTAAAAATAACCTAAGAGTGAAGGGCGGGGATGAAAATATTAAGGCCATAAGGTAACTAAGGTAAATAAAAGTTTATTCTACTATACATTAATTTTAAAAATAATATTTTAAAAAGTTAAATCAAATTGCAAATGCAATTTATTGCACTGTAGCCTATAATGTCAATTATTAGTCTGTTATAAAGATTTTTGTGAGTTAAAAACAAAACATCCCTTTTCTTAAAAAAAAATAATGTCAGGAAAACTCTGCAAAGAGAACTACAGATTGCAAAAGTAGCAATCATACATAAAAATCTAAAATTAAAACAGCTTTACTCAAAATGAAATAACTTAATCTTTCACCAGGGGAGGGAAGGGTTGCTTCTCACTAATAAAGAAAACAAAGTAACTGTATGTTCCTATTTATTCTTATGAAACAAAGGTAAAGAAATAGAGGGAGTCTGGAGTCTCACAGGTTTGTGAATTAACAATCATAAAATAGGTAGGCAAGTGGTTAGCTTATGAGCCAGGGGAATGTAAATGGTTGCTTTTATGGGGTTTGGGAGGAAATAAAACAAAAATCAAATATTTTTCCTTTATCCTAAAGGATAAAGAAAGGCTTCCCCACCCCCACCCCGAGACATACAGGTTTTGTCTAATTTCAAAAGTCAAAATTTTAAATGCAGGAAGTTGTAATGCTGAGAACAATGTAGCACTGCACTGCATTATTTACATGCACACTCCGTAGTCTAACTGCGAGGAAGAGGAAGTGCATCCGGACCTCTCCTCCCTCTCTTACAAACTGCAATAATGAGCACGTCTTTCTTCCTCAGTTTCCTCACAGATGAGGCTTAAGGACTAAAATACACAATAATGCCTGACTAAGTAAGAGCTCAATAAATGTTATTTAGCCAGTACAAGTAGCACTGTTAATAGTGTTGACAATACTTAAATTCTGATTTCATTAGATCTATTGCAAAGATGTTTGCCTATTTAATAAAGAGTTTTCTAGACACACAATATGGTAATGTATATATGTAGAAGAGCGCACAAATCATCTTTTATCTCCAATGTCCTTTATATTTGGGACTATGCAATCAGTTCTCTACTGCCACTTAGTGGCAGTTACATACATCTAGAAATGTCAATCCATAGTTAATTCACAGAAACCAAGTAATTTAAAATTATACATATCAGTATCAGTCAACAAATCACTTACTTGTAGCTTTTTTTTCTCCCTCTCAAGAGTATGATAAGCTGTAACAAGCTAAAATAAAGAAAGTTACCAATATTAATTATTCTTAAATGATTATAATTGTTCTAAATGCTGATAAAATATCTCATTATGAAAGACAAAAGAATTCAGAATAATACTTTTATAGATAGCTCATCCTAAATAGATGCATATACAATTGAAGCTAAATAATCAGAAAATATATTTCTAAAAAAATAAAAATAAATGACTCTACACGAAGATATTAAACGCTATTTGACTTTACCTTAGCTATATACCTCTTTAAATTCACAGGTGGACATTAAAGCCAACTTGCCTAAGGGCAGGAGTCTATTAACCTGTAGTCACAGACCACCATGACCTGGAAGTTTGCTAGAAACACAAATTCTTGGGCCCCACCTGAGGCTGAGTGAGAGTTGGGGATAGCCAATAATGTGTGTTTTAACAAGCTCTCCAGATGATTTTTTGAGTTGGACTCTAACAGACCAGATAATTGAGCTCAAAAAATTTGTTTGGTTACAGGACCTATTACTATGACTCTCTAAAAAAAATCATAATCAACAGATGAAAACTGATAATTCAAGCGCTAAAGGATGTTTAACCATTAAACTTAAATAGGAAATTTAAGCATTCTAGCACAACTCAATGAAGTTATGATTGCACAACTCAATGAAGTTATGATTTAACAAATCTTTTTATTATACAGCATTACTCATGTGAAGGCGAAGTACATGGCTCCAATGAATTACATTAGAAGTGCTAGTGTTCTCTGAAATGAGAGGTGACAAATTTTAGGAAAAAATCACCCTACCCCTTAGGCACATTCTAAGCCTTGCCATTTTCCTTGGAAAAGGCTGCTAAATATTTATCCCAAATGCTTCCATCAATTTCCTGAATCAAGAGGCAGGTTGCAAGAAATGGTGAGTCTAGAGATAAGAATACAAAAAATAATATTCTACCTAAGACTAGGACCCTCCTCTGGTCCTTAAGACCAGGTAGGAAAATGCTCAAAAAGGGAGTAGTAATGGAACAGTAACCCAACAATCAGATGTCATTACAGTACAATTTTATCCTAGGTACCTAGTGGCAAGGAAAGGTAAAGGTTACGGTAATGGGTTCTTTTCATCCCTAATAATCTGCATCATTTCACCTGAGGTAACGGAGAAACAAAGAATTAGAATCAAATCTACAGTATCAACTGTTACCTGAGTGACTTTAGCCTAACTTCTCTATAAATTAAGATGAGTTTCTAACCCCTATTCTGTAAAACAAAGCTAGTTAGTACCTATTTCACAGAGATAGTATAAAATTCAGTGGCACTATAAATATAAAATGTACTCTTACACACCTAAATGCTATTTACACTGCTGCCCCAGCCTTAAACTTAAAAGTTAGTGAGGGCCCTCCCTGGTGGTGCAGCGGGTTAAAGCACAGCACTAAGAAGCTTAAGCACTTCAGCATGAGTTCGATCCCTTCCTGCCCCGGAGGAGATCCACATGGCGTGGTAGACCTCTCCTGACCCGCCCGCTACTCTCCTCAGCAGTGTACTTCATCTATCTGCCTGTTCTGCTCCCCACTCTGTCTCTGGTGAATCCTCTCACCCTCCGCATCTCTGGCCTGTACTCCAGTTCTATATTAATAAATAAATAAATCTTTATAAAAAAAAAAAAAAGGTAAGTTAGTGAAAATAATACAAAAATTTCTTTGCCTCTTTCATTAATTCCTATTACTATTTGACTTTACTTCTGCGTTTGGTTAAACTGCTGATTCCCATCTGGTTACTAGCAATGGGGAGTCAGTCTGTAGCAATATCTAGTTAAAGACTTTCAGAGGTACAATGACCTTTTGGTAAGACTCTCACTGACTGATGGTAAAAAATTTATGTACAGGCAAATAAGTCATGCTCCCACCTCGGAATATTTGCCTTTGTAGCCATTCAACCGTCGTTCCATTCTTCGCAACCACTGAATCAAATGTTCTTTGTTGAGACTGTCTAAATTTCCTAAAGAGTCTTCAGCCTCACTCTCCATATCAGAGGGTGGATCAAAGGCAGCAGCAGCAGAGTCCAGGTCAAGTCGATTCAGAGACTCTCTGGAAGATGTCCGTACCAAAGACTCTTTAGAAGAAGATCGGAATAGAGATTCCTTTATTGGACTTCGAAACAAAGACTCCACGGAAGGTACTCGGAGCTGGAGCTTCTGTGCAAAAGACTGTATGTCACCTGACTGCAACCAAAATTCAAAGGAGCACATGGGTTAAAATCCACAGATTTGGACTTTATCATCCCCTATCAGCAGTAATAATCTACAAAAAGCTCTAACAAATTTAGTTTATACTCTTGACATTTTATTTTCTGAAAAACAACAGACACCTCGTTGTTTCTGAGAAAGTACTGCACCTGGTCAGAGAACTGGGATATAGGCCCTAGGTGTGCCACCAAGCAGTAGAACGGACTTCACTAAGTCACTTTCCTTCAGTTTGCACATCTGTAAAAGAGAAGGAAGCCATACATTCCCAGCTGACCTCAAAGGTATGTGATGAGGATTCATCTACTACAGTGCTAGAGAATCTGGAGGCAGTGACCATCTGTATCATCAATACAGACTCAATCCCTAATATGTAGATACATACTATGATGTGTGAAGTGTGAGGCTAAATCAAGTGGGCTTTACCACTATACAGAGTGATGATTCGAATCAATCACTCTTCTCATCAAAAGAAGGGAACCAAGAGTAGAGGGGGCATTTTTTTTTTTCTATAAGAGAATGCTAAGCAGAATTCATTAGTGCCATCCAACTCTGACCTACTTACCATTCTGTCTAATGAGAATAAAATAACCACTTAAAAATCATGGAAGGCAACTGAGCTACAGCCCCTGTACACAGGTCAGTAAATGTGATGTTAGTAACAGTGATCAACAAGACTTGTTCTCTTAATTTAACAGATTAATTTCAAAAGTAACAATGAAAAATAATGTAATTCAATAAACTGTTTTAAGTATCAATATCTTGTTCAGAACAGAGCAGTCAATATTTAGCAGCTCTTTCTAGAAACTCATTCTTACTAGTAGAACAGAGTCACCTGCAAGATCTCAAAGATGCCAGCAGTGAAAATCTCAGGGGAGGAGACTGCGATCATGTGAAAAGCAAAGAATACAGGAAAACAAAAAGATTCTCTTTAGTAAGCAATTAAAAAAAAAATCACACCAGGATTACTTTAACGCATGGATTTTAGATTTAGAATGACAATATTAGGTAACAGAGATGTAAGAAGGAATACGTCCTGTCCCTTCACAGACACAGAAATATATCACAGGTTGTTTATAACAGTAAAAAGTAGAAACCAAACAAATACTCATTACAATGAAAAATGAGGTTTAAATACACTACCAAGTAGGGGGAAAAAAAATTTAAAACAATATACTGTAAACTAGTTTTTGTTTCAAGTAATTTACAATAATTACCTTTTTGTAATTAATTAAAATTTTATTTTTCAATTTTTTATGCATATTTATATAAACACTCTTAGAATCAAGTTAAGGACATCCAAAAGATAACCTGGAGTGGTTCTGGGTAGTAATAATTCAGATGATTTTTACTTTCATTTTTCATATGTCCCCATACTTTCTTCCATAATGTGCAAGTTTTACCTTTATATTGAAGGTCAAGAGAGCTAGGAAGGTCTTAAGGGAGCAGCTGGACCCTCATGTTCAAAAACTTAAAAAAAACATTTTCCTATTATCCTATTACCAGCCACTTCTGAGCTATGTGAAAAACAGTTTTCAGTTCATACAACCATCCTGTAAATTACCCCAGGACAAATAGGTGAAGTAAGTTTGACTAAAATCAGAAATAGCTGTTATTTTAGGGTCAGTCAGAAGCTAATGAACATTGTCAAAGATATTCATATGTAGAAGCTTATAAACCTAATAGCTGTCCCATTTATAAGATTTGGGACTGACATGTTGAAGTAGAGCAATTTGGCCTGTGTAGTGAGTGTCGAAATTCAAGCCTTGGCCCCATTGCCATGCTCTATATTAACCATGACCAAGGTACTCAACCTCATTACTTATTTCCCCCTCTAAAAATGCGGATGATGAAAGTAACAATGTAATGATGATGATGACACCACACACCTTATATGGATGTCACCAATAGCAAATACCACGTTAACAATTATCATTATTAGAGAAAGACGCTAAAACAAAAGACAAAATATAGCCATTCTGGTGGATGTATGTTCATAACTCATTGTGGCTTTAATTTATATTTAGGAAGGTGAATGTTTTTACCTGGGTACATTAATACCCGGAACAAAGTTAAAGTTTGGTGGAAAGGGAAAAGGGAAGATTAAATAGGATATAATATACATCCCTAAGTGAGAGACACTTCTGTATACTATGATGCAATAATAGCTAAGCAGAGACTACGAAACCAACTGTCTTGGGGTCAAGCATAAACTCTGTCATTTACTGGAAGTAGAACATCCAAGAAGTTTATTAATCTCTCTTTGCCTTTGTCTCTTCATATATAAGATGGGAACAGCAGCATTTAGCTCAGACGGGGAATGTGAGGAGTAATAAACACATGGGAACTAATTAAAAACATGACTGGTTCAAAGGAAAAATTAAATCCTAGTTATCAACCAATATCTAATCTTCCCTTTTTCCTTTCCACCAAACTCCAACTTTGTTCCAGGTATCAATATACCCAGGTAAAACATTCACCTTCCCAAATATAAATTAAAGCCACAAAGAGTTATGAACAAACATCCACCAGAATGGCTAAAATTAAAACTATGGAAAACACCAATTATTAGGAGAATCCACTTTGGAAAACTATTTGTATTTACTAACATAAAATATATGTAAACACTCTGAGCCAGTAGCTTTTCCTACTAAGTATATTCCCAACAGAAATTTGCAAATACATTCAACAAAAGATCTAAACTATGAAGTTTACAGCAGCATTATTCAAAATAGCCCCACACTTAAAATTACTCTTGATGCCAACAGTAACAACAGATAAATTGCAGTTTGTTTACTAACAGATTATTATACAATAAAGAGAACCAATGGCCAGAAAAATTATGGATGACTCTTACTGAGTACTAAACAAAAGAAGCCAGATACAAAAGCAGTCGCTTTTCATTATATTTATGTAAAGTTCAAAAACAGGCAAAATTAACCTATAAAATGAGAAGTCAGGGTAGTGGCTACTCTTGGGGGTGAGAGGACAGGATGGTCGGAACACAAGTGCTTCTAGGGTGTGAATAATTTTTGTTTCTTGATTCTGGGTGTTAGTTACAAAGGTATATTTGGTTTGTGAAAATTCAGAAAACTATAAGAAATACACTATCTCTGTATACATGTATTATATTGTGATATATTACATTTCAATTAAAGTTTTTTATCCAATGCTCCATACTAAAAGTGGAAACTATAGGATAACCCTAGAGAGATAATATCCTGCTAACAAGGTATCTGCCTTTTGTCCTCATCTTCAGTCTTCCCTCCTGTGGAGAACTGAGATGTTTTTTCTGGAAACCAGCTTGTAATTACAAAGATGAAAGGCACTGTTAAGGACAGGAAGCTAAATAGAGTTTGGGGGTATGACACAGAAAGCAAAAGGTTTGGGTTCCTTAAGGACTGTTTATCTTCAGGCCTTCTAGTACTTGAAAAACCATACTCCCATTGCTGCCAACTATTGTAAAGTTTTTGATGCCAGAGACATTGATCGATTTACAATTCATTTTTTAAAAGAGGGATGTGGGGATTACAGAAAGAAAAATTATAAGTAAAGATAAATGAACACATCAATAACTTTTAACTCCTTCCTGTCCTTCATTTTAGTTTGTTTTCAGAACCTCCTATTTTATATCTCTAACACTGTTCTTTTCAGACATTTATCTTATATCAGCTGGCTTTTATTATTTTTAAAATTTATTTATTTAGGCCCTCCCTGGTGGCACAGCGGGTTAAAGCACAGCACTGAGAAACTAAGGCCACTTCCACATGAGTTCTATTCCCGCCTGCCCCGGAGGAGATCCACATGGTGCGGCAGACCTCTCCTGACCCGCCCGCTGCTCCCCTCGATCTGCCTGCTCTGCTCCCCACTCTGTTTCTGGTGAATCCTCTCACCCTCACATCTCTGGCCTGTACCCCAGTTCCATATGAATAAATAAGTAAATCTTTTTAAAAAAATTATTTATTTATTAACAAAAATAATGAACAACCATATACCAGAGACATTTTGTGGGGGTGGAGTGGGGAATGGGATCAAAAATGGGGGGGGGAGGGAAATGCACGGGATTATGGTGATGGCACACGGGTGACTTAGTGATGGGAAACCCGTGGGGATTACAATCGAGATGGAAAAAAAATGTACAAAATGATGTAAAAATAAACTTTTGTAATAAAAAAAAATTATTTATTTATGCAAAACGAACTGGGGTACAGGCCAGAGGCACAGGGGCAGTGAGAGGATTCACCAGAGACAGAGTAGAGAGCAGAACAGGCAGATCAACGAAGTACATTGCTGAGCAGAGCTGGATTTTAAAAACATAGTAAAAGAAGCCTTCCACCAAAGAGCACTTACTTTAGGAAGCCACTAATAAGAATTTCTAAAACAAGAAAAATGAATCTATGGGGTAAAAATTGTAACAGTTGCCTCTGGAAGGCAAGACCATAAAAGAACTGTCTGGGTGTCGATCATGTTCTGTAACCTCTATGGGTTTGGCAGACACACTTATTAAAATTTAGTCAATGTACATGTAAGGTTTATTTCATTTTGGATGAATTTTACCTCAAAAAAAAAAAAACAAATATTAAACTCTAGGTAAAGACATACAAGCTGAAACAGTAAACGAAATGATATGATAGCCTGCACCTAACTCTGAAATGCATCAAAAAAGTAAGATGGATTTAAAGACATACAGAGGAAAGGATAGATAGCCTGATTAATGATAAAGAACAGTAAAATAGCAATGATAGAACCTAAGTGGTGTGTACACAGCTGTTCACTTTCAATATTTCTGTTTAGTTTAACTTTTTCACAATAAATTGTTGAAAATGAAAGAAAAAGAAATAGTATCTAAAAAATAGCAAATATCCAAAATTCAATTTTAATCCTTCAATTTTAATACTTCTCTTATATTAAAAAATCATAAATTATTTTCAAAACAAGAACTTTACCCATAATTTTAAAAACTGCAGATGAGTCTGTTCATGTAAATCCTTATGTTTTCATCTATTGATGTTATTGAAATTCTGTTAGTTTTTATAGCATATAAAATTCAAATGAGACAATATGCAGCAAAAAATTACAGCTAAATAAAGGTGACATTTTCGCTTTACCTAAGTTAATCCCACAGTACTGTCAATAACTAGATACTACTCCATGGGAAATTAAGATCTCATGCCTCATATCTCATCATTTAGCCCAGAATCACAGAATTAGAAATGTTATTGGTCTATATTAGACACTGCTGAAAACAATCTGGTTAACGATAATAATTACTAAAACCAAAATAAACAAATGCTCATCTCAAACATTACTATCAATCACTATGCTATCTTTTTCAATAAATTGTTTTTTCTTCTATTTTTGAAGGAGTCAAAGAATGTCACTTGAGTTCTACTCTCCACATAACTTTAGAATCAAGAATAACAAATTCTCTAGTAGTAAAATATTCTGTTTTGAAGCAAACTTGAAAAGTATTTCCACTTCCAATACAACTTCCACTATAAGCTTTTATACTGATTTTTTAATTTTAATTTTTAATTAAATTAATTTTTTTCAAAAATCAGTCTTTTCCAAAAATCCATTATCATTAATTTTAAAGAGAGTAATAGTGGACTCTTACATGATCTATTATATACACGAACCACTTTCATTGAAAAGTTTTTCCAACAAATCTTTTGCAAACTTAGACTTATCAGACACACTGTATCAAACATTTGTACATCACTATTTCATGTAAAATCAAAAGCAAGTAATATAAATTAACCAACACTCTGAAATAACTGGCTATATTTAAAGTGTTAATAACAAACCTGAGAAGTCACTGGCTCACTTCCATTAACACTGTCGGGAGATTTTGTGGCTTGAATAGATGCATTCTAAGAAAAAGAAAAATGGCGTAAAGAAAAGGAATAAAAAAAACTACGGTTTTAAAACTGTCAAGAATGAAAACTAGTAACAAATCCTACTAGATACATTTTTCTGTTAAACAAAATTAGTCATTACTTACTTATTAGAACGTTTTCATGCAAGGCAAAATTAGTTTGGTAGGAATTTTAGAAAATTCATTTTGCTGTAGTACATAAAGCTAAACAGCAAAGATTAGTATGTAGGAAAATTTATTAAAAGCTGATCACATACCTCTTCCCATTTTAATGTCCTAGCTTTTTCCCCCCATGGTATGTTTCCCCCCAGTTAATATCTGATCCAATTAGCAAAAAACTCACTCAAAAAGAAAACTATCCAGAAAAAGAAGTAACGTCAATTGTCCCTAATAATAAAAGAATATTCAAATTAATGTTTTTTAACTAAATTCTGAAAAATAATTTGACTACAAGAGACGGAAATGCTTCATTCACTTGAAGCCATAACAATTTTCAGAGAAACTTGGAATTCAAAGTATCTCCTTTCACATGTGAAACTTTTGTGTTGGTCTGTTACCATGACAAGTGTTCCAAGTTAAGCAGCATTCTACTGATTACATCATGCTGGAATAGGTCCAAGACAACAAATGAGATTCTTTGAGATTCAGAATTCTATATTATATTTATAATATTAAAGTGCCTAAAAGTACAGCTATGGAAATAGTTCATGATAAAACTAATCTCCATGTTTTAAACAAAAGCATCTGACCAAATGCTAACCACTGTGTTTCAGTGACTTGGTATCTAAGTCACTGAAAGTTTACATTTCCCCTACATCTCTGCAGCTGACCAAGAAAAAGTTAAATATATATGATCTTACTTATTCTTAAATATAAGTGGAGGAAACCCTCAATTTTGTGAATGTCTCAATTTTTTTTAACTTTCATTAAATATCTGATAGTAACAAATTAACTTTTAAGTGTAATAAATGTATTATGATTATATATCTTTAATCCTTATCTTTTAGAATTATATGCCAAAATATTTATAGATAGAATAAGATTTCTACAATTTGCTTCAAATAATCCAAGAGGGATACTGGGGAAAGGGAAAGAATTCTTATACCACTATTACTATTATTTCCACTTCTAAAATATGTTTGAATTATTCCCTAAAAAAACTTAAGTTACTCCTCATCTAATATAAATTGAGTTATCAAATTTTACAGTTCAATACATTTTCTTAAAGTTCCAGATGGGAAAAAGACTGGGCAAATATAGAAATTAAATTTTCCCATTTACTGTCACTTCAAAGAAGTACTACAAGTTATTATGTAGATGGCATATATTTGTATAGCATCATAATTAACGTTTTCCAAAAAATATGCTACACTACACACTATAAAATAAAAAGCATACTTTATAGAGATCAACAAGTCTCTTCATCAGTATACTGAAAAGTATGATGAAAGGACCCCATAAAATATTTACACTTAGGAGAAAGTCACAGAGAGTTCATATTTCCATTCTAAATTACTTGATACATGATTGTGAGTCATACAAAAAAACCTACTCTATATAATTGTTTGTAATCTCACCCTGTTAAACAGCACAAAATTGTAAAACATTCCCTCCCTGCACATACATTTCAATTTATATGTCCTATCATGTATGCAAACAAATACAGGACAGCTAAAGAAAATACTGATCTACATTACACTGTACACCTGAGTTACTAATATCTAGAAGTGAAATTAGAGATTTTTGTCACTACCTCTATTACTTCCTCCATTTCTTCCCAGCAAACTCTTGCTCATTTTTCAACTTTCAAATGCCCCTTAATTTATGAAGCTTCACGTCACTTGCCTGAGATCTAACACATTCCCTATGTCGGTATTTTCTTCCATGAAGCCTTAATTTCTTTGTATTCCAAGTTCATGTGATGTGACCATTCCCATACTGATCCATAAACTCTCAAATGGGAGAAACCCTGCATTTCCATGTTCGTCTTAAAGACTTAACATTTTACCTAGCTGCTAGAAAAGATTCGATAAAATGCTGTTAAATCCTTTTGCAATTATTTCTTTTAGTCTAAGAAGACTTCTTGAAGGCCTTCTTTTAGGAAGAAACATCAAATTAACTCAAATGTCAATACACCAATATTTTCTACTGGAAACAATTTTTAGATATAACAAGAAAACTCTTCCAAAGTGCAGCTGAAAAATTAAAAGAACACACAGGTTCCCTGCCAGATTCATCTACAGTTACCCTTAGCTGAATCTTTCAATATCTGCTTATGTACTACTAAACATAAAGGATATGGCAATTTTTAGAACTTGAGGTAAAGGGATACATTTTTTGGAAAACTAAACTTTTACTCAAGTTATTCTATAATTTCCCTTTGTTCTGTGAGAAAAAGTTTTCATCTGAATCAAAATCTAAATAAACACCTTTACTCTACTTTAAGTACATCTAAAGCCTCTATTTTTAAAATGTGACCATTTTAACAACAGGATAGGTACTCAATACAAATTACTTTTATGTACTTATGGAAGTGGGACAAGTTTTTTATTTCAGGTTGCTATTACTACCCGATGAAGTATAAAGCAATAGCATTTTGGCTTTAAAATAAATTCACTCTAACTGGAACTCCTAAAAATAGCAATGTGTTTGTTACATATTGCAGGGTACAAAGAGACACTGACACCCAAGTTAAGGCATCACCAGATCTACCATTTTTACCCAGAACTGCTTGCTTTTGTAAAACCGAGTTTTGCATGTAACTCACAACTGTTAATGGCCATATGCAGACCAAGTTACTGCTGGCTACATTGAGTAGATACAGTTCTTTAACACATATATGTTAAGAGCTTGAATAGTGCAGGAATGCACCAATTTCATCACCAGATACTTAATAAATTAAACCAATTCTCACAGTTTTTAAAAGTCTCGATCCCAGTTAGTCAGTATATAATCTTAAGACCCAAAGTGATCCTTACTTGGCAATCAAACATCTTTAAAACTACTTACTAAATTAAGAACTTGGATATTTTAAATGGTATTACATCAACAAAATCAAAAACAAACCAAAAGGAAGTGGAAGAACTGGATGTTTTAAATAGAAAAAAAGTCCACTTTCCCAAAAATGAAATGATACATAAGATTCAAAACTGCATGAATTCAGTCAGCTGAAAAATGAGATAATTATTTCTATATTTAATACATAGAAAACTGGTACTTTCCCAAAATAAGATACAATTGTCAGTTACAATGGAATTCATCTATCTACTCAATGTTTTTTAATTACAGATTTACATAAACTATATTTTTCCCAAATATAAAAGTTGCATCTCAAAATATTCTCAGCTTCTACCAATAATAGAACAGATTTCTAGCGATGCACATCTTTTAAAAAGGCAAACATCCTAGAGAAAAGCCTTAACATTTAGACATAGTAAAGGCAGTCATTACATTAATGAAAACAATGTTATTTTTGTTGCTGTTAAAAAGCTATAAGAAAGCATACCAGCCATCAGAGTTCAACAATTTACTCTCTGATTTTTTTGGAACAGGGTTAGCAACAGGGCACCAAAGATGCTTTGAGAGAAGGTAAGTGACAAGCAACAAGAGCTTTGCTTCTAGAGTTACCAAATTACTTTGCTTCCCACAAAGGGAATGCAGAAAGCGGTGGACGGACTCACCACACTGTCACTCTGTGTTTTAGGCTGTTTGGAGGAATCCAAAGCAAATATAGTATACTCAGAGAGAAAAGCAGGCTCTGCTATCATCCCGGCTAGGAGCTGTCTCATTCAGTACAACAAGCAGAGGTATAAAAATAAAACAAATAATGAAAATCAAGTCATAAGGGCATGTTGCAGTGTTTTCATCATGCTGCATGCACAACTCTGTATTGATTGTACGACCACCGCCACTCCACCCAAAGAAATAACAATTTACTGGAAAGATCAGGAATAGAGTTGAGTTGATCATGCCCAACTTATAAACCACTTATTATTGACATGTAAATGACATATGCAACAGGCACCACAGCACATAGCACATCTGACAATTTGGTATACAAATTTATACCAGTAAGAACAATAAATGGTAAAGAACACAAACCCTTAATATAACAAATTTTGAGCCATTCATTTTATATATGCAAAAGGATAAAAAGGAATGTTTAGGAGAATAAATTTAAATCATTATTTATTTGTACTTATAAACTAAAATAGTTTTCCCCAAAATATATACAGAATAAAATTTTAAAACTGAAATGTCTAATGTTTTACAGATAGCTCAACTATACTAGTCCTTTGGACTTATATTCTCTTCTATGTTTCCATTTTCTTTCAGAAACTACACCACACAAGATACTAACAACTGTGAATAAATTAAATGTATAGGAAATAACTGAAATGAAGTTTTTGACAGTGGAGATTGCACATATCTACATGTGATAAAACTGCAAAGAACTACACATATACATGAGTACACATAAAACTGATGCAAACTGAATAAGCTCTATGGACGTCAAGAGTTTACCAATGTGGGTTTCCTTGTTTTGATAATCTATTATAAAGCATACAAGATGCTCCCTTTGAGAGAAACTATGTGAAGGGTACACAGGAACTCCCCTCCAAAAAAAATTTTTTTGTAACATTCACCAGTCTATAAGTGTTTTGAAATAAAAATTAGTATTTGGATACATTAACTTAGCAGTGAAGATGTTATGTATTGCATAATATATAATGAAGAGCTAATAGAAGATAAATGTTGACAAAAGCTTAAGAACTTATACTTTTCTCCTCATTACTAGAGCTGTATGAATACTACCTAGGTCCTACACTAACTCTTCACCCAGTCATCTATTACAGGTCATCTTATAGTCATGACAAACCTTTTTTTTTTAAAGACCCCTTAGGCAGAATTCAAGAACTGACTTTATACTATTTCCCCAAATTTAGACTCAGCAGTATACTGAAAGAATGTAAGTGCCTGTTTGGCTCTAAGAAATCAGCCTATGCAAGTTTTTACTCCTGCTGAATCTTACTTTCTTAGAAACTCAGAATAGATGTCATTTTAAATTAAGACATAGAAATTCACTCTTCTCAGGCTTCCAAAGTTAGTTTTAAATCAAGTCACTAATGCATGCAAGAAAATAATTTTAAATTTCTCAGCTAATGATATACTGGAAATTTTAAGAGAAAAACACAAAAACATGCCTATATAGAAAAATACAGTGACCAAACATCTCAAAATATGTGTGCTGCAGCCAGACATGAATTTATACTGCAGTCCTATGTCCATGCAAAAGCAAAGCATGTTAAAATTAGTTCCCACTGAGCCTTTCTTGCCAAGGTATGCTTGTCATTTGCTTTCTGTGAAACTCTCACAAACTCAATAAAATTGTCTCAGTTCAATCTCTCAAATTCTGTTCAAATTCTAGTCCAAATATGCTAATAATTCACTCCCACTATGGGTTCCTTGCCAGAGCCATCAACTGAAGTAACACTTATTGAGGTTACAAAGACTGCCAAAAACTACCAGGTTGAGAGCTTTCCAATTAACAACCATTTCTCTTCCTCACATACACTTTTTCCCCTAATCTTGACTTTTTTTTTTTTTTTTTGGGTAGGGTTACTCAATATTCTTTCAGAATTCCCCCGTGTTCCCTTGAGGTGGGACTAATCTGAGTTTTATTCTAATTAAATTTTTATGTCAATTTTTTTTAATTACCAGGATTTTTAATTGATTCTTTTCATAGCTACCTATTCTAGTTTTCTTTTGGCCTGTTTACACACACACACACACACAATTTTATGTTCTTTTTAAGAAAACTATGACTTTATTCATCTACTGATAATTGTTTTAAAGCCTTTTTCCAGACTGTTGTATTTTTTTTTTTAAAGATTTATTTATTTGTGCGTACAGAACTGGGGTACAGGCCAGAGGCTCAGGGGCGGTGAGAGGCTTCACCAGAGACAGAGCGGGGAACAGAACAGGCAGATCGACGAAGTACACTGCTGAGGGGAGCAGCGGGGGGGTCAGGGGAGGTCTGCCACACCATGTGGTCACCTCCGGGGGCAGGCGAGGATCGAACTCATGTGGAAGAGGCTTCAGATTCTCAGTGCTGTGCTTTAACCCACTGCGCCACCAGGGAGGGCCCAGACTGTTGTATTTTTAATTTCACCTATAGCAAATTTATATCCCAGATCCTGTTTTCACTGGTTGCCTTCTAAATATTTATTTTAGAATATTTATTTATAAGTACATTGTAAGGAAAAGATTATCATTTTCCCTCCTGTGCTCACCTCTCATTCAGTCAATCTGATTCCCTGTGTCCCAGTTTGGGTTTCCTGACCTATGACAATACAAAGGTTCTCACAGTCTCAAGTCACAAGTCAACATGAGGTTTGGCTTAGTTCTCTATCAGAGTCCTCCTTAGGGACAGCAGCTTCTCACAATGGTTCAAAAGGCTCTAGGCAGCCCAGCCGTTAGCAACAATTTTTTCAACCTCCTTTCGACAGTGTTAGTTTAGAAGCCCTACTTCAAATCACCAACATACAGTGCTAAATCTAACTCTCCCAGACTTTCTCAACCAGAGTTCAAAAAGAAAATTAAGTCCTAATGTCTGCTCTAAGGCATCTTCTAGCATCCAAGATACCTAATGAATTAATACATCTCCTATTAGGGGCAGGTAGAGGGAGGTTTTCCTTAAAGAGGAAGCAGACGTCCTTGCTTCTATCTTCACAGACCTGTTATATATAGCTGTTATTAGTAACACTTAGCATTTTGGGTCAGTTAAACTCATCCCATTCTTATTTGCAACAAAGTATGCCTTCAGGGAGCACTTGAAATAATACACTTTGTTAAAGATAGAAGAATTAAATTGTCTAGAGTAGCAACAGGTGAGAAGAAAGGAAGAAAAGAGTGTGTCTGTATCATTTTAATTAGGTACAAAATGATGATTTCAGACAGTTTTACCTATAATGAAACTTGTACAACATATGGTCGTTTAAAAAAAAAATGCAAAAAAGAACATGGTGTCTTTCCCTAGCCCTGATCACCATTGAAAAGTCCACGAGCTTACAAAGATGGAGGCAATCCATGTGGCACATCAGACCTCTCCTGTTTTCACTCACTGCTCCCCTCAGCAGTGTATTTCAGTAGATCTGCCTGTTCTGCTCCCCACTCTGTCTCTGTGAATCCTTTCATGTTCCATACCTCTGGCTCACACCCCAGTTCTTATATGCATAAACAAACAAACAAAAATTTTATAAAAACAAAATACAGAGCAACAGTAATTTTCATAAACTCCTGGTGGTAAAGTTCTATAACATCTGAAAAACATGAGTATTATCTTCTAAGGTGTTAAACTATCTATGCCCTTTGACCCAGTGATTCTTTTTCTAAGTATATACCAAAAGAAATACAGGGACGTGTATACAAAAGAAACACACAATAATGTTCCCAGCAGCATAATTTACAATAGCCTAAAACTAGAAATGCCTAACTATAATGTTCACATTTAGCAAGCATTTACCTTAAGTGGCAAACTATAAAGAAAAATAAGGAAGCAAATAGCAAAAAGTCAGGATGGTAGTAATCTTTGTGGGGCTGAAAGGGCATGTCTCTTTTCTTGACATGGTTACTGGTTACATGGGGATTCACTGATTGATGTATTTGTTTTACCCTCTTTTCTACAGCTGCATCACAGTTCACAGAAGGAAAAAAAAAATCTAAACTCCAGTGCCATCTGCAGGTCACAATGAATCAGTGAAGTACCTGACAGTTTTTAATCACTAGCTTGAGATATAGGACTTTTCCCTAAATGAAACAATGTTGAACAAATTGTTATGAAATTATTCTGAAAACTTCAAATATTAAATGCTGGTACATTATCCTCTCAAATTAAAATGTACAAAGAAAACATATTTTACAAAAGCATTACCACTATTTGCAAAAAAGGAATTACATTAATAATAAAAACAATACCTAGAAATTATTAGTAACATAATTATTCTTTGTCTGCAATACATGAAGCCTATCAAAATAACTTCTCATCTTGTTACTAATGGTAGCATTACATTTTAGACTAATAAGTTTCTTGTGAGAGGTTTTTTAAAGAGAAATTCCAAACTTACTTCTCTATTGGGTGTACCTTCATCAAGTTGCTCTGTAATTGAAGGTGTCCTACTTCTGACTCCTGTTGGTGTTGAAGAATTGGAAGAAGCCTAGATTAAAAAAAAAAAGTGCACAAATTAGAAAGACTACCTTAACTAGAATACTATGAACTAGATAGTCTTTCTCTGTCAGGCCCAAAGAACCCAGTGAAAGAAAGGAAAAGATCAAACACCTAAGAAACAGAAGATGATAACCAAAGCACAATCAATTATAAGCCATAGGTTATCTATTATATCCTTGGTCTGACTCTGATCAAGTACTACACTCTTAGTAAAATTACCTTTTGGAGAGCTCTATGCCCTTATTTATAAAATGAGGCTGCAATGATAAGACAATATTATTAGGGGAAACTGAAATTAGGTAAGGAGTATATGAAATCTCGCTATACTCTGCAACTTTCCTGCAAATCAACATCATTCCAAACTAAAAAGTCCATTTGAAAAAAGAAAGATTGAGGGCCTCCCTGGTGGTGCAAGGGGTTAAGTCTCAACACCAAGAACCTATCAGCAGCCACTGCAACACAAGTCAGATCCCCACCAGGGAGCTGACCTATATGTTATGTCAGCAGACTTTTCCTGTATCACCCGCTGCTCCACTCAGTAGTGTATTTCAGTCCATCTGCCTGTTCTGCTCCCCACTCTGTCTCTGGTGAGTCCTCTCATATATATATTATCCTCCAAATCCCCACCTTGTTCCTCTGGCCTGCACTCCAGCTCTTGTATGCATAAATAAATAAAATAAATTAAAAAAAAATAAAAAGTAAGGCCCTCCCTGATGGCGCAGCAGGTTAAAGCACAGCACTAAGAAGCTAAAGCACTTCAGCATGACTTGGATCCTCCCGCCCCCGGAGGTGACCCACATGGTGTGGCAGACCTCTCTGACCTGCCCGCTGCTCCTCTCAGCAGTGTTCTTCATCAGTCTGCCTGTTCTGCTCCCAGCTCTGTCTCTGGTAAATCCTCTCACTGTCCCTGCACCTCTGGCCTGTACCCCAGTTCTGTATACATAAATAAATAAGTAAAAATCTTTCCAATAAATAAATAAAAAGTAAGATTGTCTATTCAGTCTTTAAGGTGTCTTCTAGTTCTAACATTCAATATTGTGCAATGCACAGTTAAACATCACTCTAGTCAAGGATCTTACTTTCAGTCCATCAAATACCCCATATAGTGAGATACTGAGATACTTTAGTTCTGTAAAGAATCTAACTCCTATAATCCTTAGTACAAAAACTCTCAGGAGCAAAGGACCAAAATGTAAACTAGGGTTTTGATTTTATATTGTAAGGTGAGTAGAATAATAACATAATAATAATAAAATGTCAGAACTTCCAAGACCCTCCCCTACCCATGACAGAATAGAGCTGAACTCATCTACTGAGAGGAATAAGTCTGCCTTACCCTAGTAGTCTATACAGCTCCACATATAACAGGTATTTAATAAATATTATTAAACAAACAAATGAATGAATGAATAAACAAAATTTCACCTATCAAGTCAGTGCACAAATCATTGTGGATAGGCTGGAACACAAAGATCATAGGGAATGTTACACACACACACACACATACATACACACACATATACACACATATTTAGTTTATGATAAGCCTAACCTTTTAAATCAATATGTTCAATAAATGAGTGGGGACAACTGGTCAATTATATGAAGGAGAGACCCCCCAATCATCTCCTGACTTCACAGTTAAGATTTAAGTGTTTCTTAAAAATCATAAAATATGGCCCTCCCTGGTGGCGCAGCGGGTTAAAGCACAACACTGAGAATCTAAAGCCGCTTCCGCATGAGTTCGATTCCCGCCTGCCCTGGAGGTGACCACATGGCGTGGCAGACCTCTCCTGACCCGCCCGCTGCTCCCCTCAGCAGTGTACTTCGTCGATCTGCCTGTTCTGCTCCCCACTCTGTCTCTGGTGAAGCCTCTCACCGCCCCTGAGCCTCTAGCCTGTACCCCAGTTCTGTATACACAAATAAATAAATCTTTTTAAAAAAATCATAAAATAAAAGACAATATGAGCCTATTTCTATAATCTTTGAATGGGGAAGTGTTTTGTGTCAAAAGCAAAAACCAAAAGGAACTTTAATTAGGAGGAGGGGAAAACTATAAACAAAATATGACAAAATTTTAATACTATTTCTTATAAACAGCTCTTATAAGTCCATAAGTTAGAACTCAGAAGACGTGCTAACCCAGTTTGCTTTTCATCTAGGACAGCTGACCTGAATTCTACCAATGCATACACCCACATGAGACTGAGTCACAAGTCAGCACTAAGAGAAAAGATACATGTAAAATTAAAATTCGTCATCTGGCAAGCCTGGAGACAAAGCCATGAGGACATGAGCTGTGCAGTGGAGGAGAAAAGGCCAGGACAGAGCTGAGGCAGTAGCAACATTCTTATTAGGACAGTCAACACTGTGGCTGGGCCCAGCAAGCAGTCCAGATTTTCAGGCTCTCCTGGAAATTCTGTAAACCACTGATGTTCTTAATAAGTTCCTTTTCTGCTTAACTAATTAGACTGAGTTTTGTTGCTTACCACTAAGAATTCCAGCTTCCTAAAAGATGAGCCAGGAAAAATATAGATGAAATTAGTGATATGTAGAAGTTAGCTTAAGGGATAACCAAGCTTTTCTCAATCAAGATAAACAGAAATGATAAGGACCTAAAACACATAAAGAAAATGGCTGACTATAAAATAAAGCTGAAAGTCTTATTAATATTTTAAATATCCAGAAATGTGTGACTAGAAGTCAACACTACACTTAAAAAACGGCAAAAGAAAGCAGTCATGGAAAATGTTTAATCCTAAGGACTGAAACTAAATTACAAATGTTCAGAGCACCTTAGAAATAGCCTTCACTGAAACTGAAGGAAATTCAATAAATCCTTTCTACAGCAAGAGCCATAAATTTCAAATCCTGCCAGCTTCAGCGGCTATAGATGATTCAAAGAAAGCCACTATGAAAGGAAAGAGTTCTGCTTGTATCTACTTTCAAATGATTACATATAATGTCTCCTTTAATTAAAAAAATACTATGGAGGCAAACCTTAGTAAAATAATCAGGAAAGTACCAGACTAGAGGAAATAGCTCTTGTCCAACTCTCCACTGTGAGTCCATCATCTCCAGGTAATCTTTGAGTTAATAATTCAACTTTCCAAATCCCAATTACCAAGGAAGGGTTACTCTAGATAGTGACTTTCCAATCACAGGAAAAGTATAGCAACACAGTGAATTTTTTTAATTGGCACTAAGTATTTTGATCTTGGCCCAGTGTGGGCCTAATCGGTAACCTAGTCTCATCATCACTGTTAGTTCTGGATAAACTAACAAAATCAAATGTTAAGGGTTACAAAGTTGAAGAATCGTTTCCTAAACATACAGTCCTCCGATGAATAGTACCATCTGGCAAGCCTTGGTCTGATGACTTGTCTTCCTCCAGAGTTGCAAGAATAAGGATCACATGAGAAAAAAGATTGACTGTAAAGTATATATTACATGCATAAAAAGTGCAAGTGTTTATTCCAAGGTCCTGGATCATTAATGGGCTATCCTTGCTTCAAAATATAAGGGATTTAGAGTCCTTCAACTAATTCTCTTAGCCATGAGAAATCTCAAGACTAGTTCTTAAGTTCTTTGTCAAGAAGCCTAGTGGCGGGCTTCCCTAGTGATACAAGGGTTAAAAACACAGCACTAGCAAGCTATGGTAAGCCACTGCAGCATCAGTTGACTTCCATGCCCCACCAGGGAGATAATCCACATGGTGCAGCAGACCTCTCCAGTCTCACCTGCTTTCAGCAGTATATTTCAGTCAATCTGCCTGTTCTGCTCCCCACTCTGTCTCTGGTGAATCTTCCCACGCCCCAACACCTCTGGCCAACACCCCAGTTCTTGTATATATAAATAAATAAATCTTTAAAATTTTAATAGAAAGAATGACTCGCAATATTTCCATTGCCAACCAAATGACTATTAACTGATCATAGGCCTCAAATTCAGTATAAGAATACATAATATATAAAGCAGAATATTAAGATGACCTCAAATTGCCCTTGCCCTATGAATATGATATCATTCCCTTGATTATCTTACATTACACAGCAAAATGAATTTTTCAAATATACAAGTATAGTTAAGGTTACTAATCAGTTGATTTTTAAGTTAATCAAAAAATTATCTGAGTGGGTCCAACCTAATCACATAGCCCTTCAAATACAAGTCTAGAGTGCAGAAGCAGCAGGCAGAGAAAAACTCCTGCTGTCCTGAAAGAAACAAAATGCCTGTGGGGGCCTAGTGATAAGGAAAAACAAGTAGTCTCCAGAAGTTAAAAGTGGCCCCTTCAACAGCCAGCAAGAAGTAAGAAACGCAGTCTTAACAAACACAAATAACTAAATTCTACCACAACCATGTGAGGAAGGAAAAGGACCTTAAGTTCAACAGTCAGGATGACACTCTGATCTTACTTAGGCTTGTAAGACCCTTAGCAGGGAAACCTGTCACACCATAACAGAGTTCTGACCAAATTTTTGTAATTATTTCTAATTACCGTCACCTTTAGGAATAATGAGCCTTGAATATCATGTTCCTATGCTGTTTTTGCATTATCCATTGAGACTGTACTCAGTTACCACCCTAACCCTCTCCAAGCCTTCCTGTGTGCAATCACACACTACCACTATAACTGTGCCTCGCAATCACAAGGTACAGAGACTACATCTACCTTTCAAACACCCAGTATAGCACCTTAACAGGCTGTATTAAATAAATAAGTGCTCTATAGTTACAAATGCTTTCAAATACTTTCTCTCTTATAGCCAATGTGAAAAGTAAACAAGAAGAAAGATAGTATCATTCCAACTTTCCTGATGAGAAATAAGAAGCTCGGAATGCTTATGTGGTCTGCCCAATTGCAAACTGCAAAATCTGGGTCAGCACACAGGTCTTCTAATCCCCTCATCCACTGGGACCCAGGTGGGAGTGTAGGTGCAGGGTCACACACTGAAACAAAAATTTTACAGAACCTTAGCCTTTATGATATAAGATGCCATATGTTCTGACCTAATTTATTTCTTCACTTAAAAAGAAAACTGGGGCCCTCCCTGGTGGCGCAGCGGGTTAAAGCACAGCACTGAGAAACTAAAGCCACTTCGACATGAGTTCGATTCCCGCCTGCTCCGGAGGTGACCACATGGTGTGGCAGACCTCTCCTGACCCGCCCGCTGCTCCTCTCAGCATCTGCCTGTTCTGTTTCCCTGGTGAACCCTCTCGCCGCCCCTGAGCCTCTGGCCTGTACCCCAGTTCTGTATTCACAGATAAATAAATCTTTATAAAAAAAAAAGAAAACTGATCTCAACCCACTGATTCAATATCCCAGTTGAACTGCTTTTATCATATCATGCTGTCTTCACACAAACAGTGTTGATGACATGGTCACTAAATCTTAAATCTAGAGTACATCAATACATATCAATACATTCAATATATTGCAACAACAACAAAAAAAAAACAGAAATTAAAAAGCATAAATTCTAGCTGAGCAACATAATCTTAGATTTCCAGTACAAGAATGTAGACTAAACACTATAGTTTACTTTAGCTCCCTCCAAAGAAAACCACTGAAATGAAAGTTTTAAAAAAGAGAGAGGGCCCTCCCTAGTGTCACAATAGGTTAAAGCACAGAACTATGAAGCTATCGAAGCCACTGCAGCACAAGTTCAATCCTCAGCCAGCGAGGTGACCCGCATGGCGTGGCAGACCTCTCCTGGCCCACCCACTGCTCCCCTCAGCAGTGTATTTCAGTCAATCTGCCTGTTCTGCTCCTCACTCTGTCTCTGGTGAATCCTTTCACCCCCTGCATCTCTGGCCTATACCCCAATTCTATATGCATAGTTAAATAAAAATGTTTTAATTTAAAAAAATGTTTTTAATTAAAAAAGAGAGTATCTTCAACAAAGGTGACAAATTTCAAAGACTGAAAAACAAAAGGATTCAATTCAAACTGGTAGCAAAATCAGGTAAGCAAAACTCCAAATATACATAGAAGACTGCAAGAGACAGCAGTAACTTTTCCCCACAGGAAAAAAAAATAAATAAAAAATCACAGGTTTTCTGCAAGAGGAGATTATTGCTCTCGGGGATTAATTAAGGGCTTGTGAGACAAACAGGTATTTGGGGTCAGCTTCCTCCAACCCAAACATATCTCAAGACAAAATTAATTGCCAAATATAATGAGCAACCTGCCTTGGAAAAGTCAGAGCTCTAATAGTGAGAACTGAAGCCACAAAATAGCAGGGTAAAGATACACCCCTGTTTGCCCACTGTTATCCCAGTGTCACCCAATTCATGCAAGTTTATGTTCCAAGGCAATTATTAGAGTCCCTGATCATCCTTAAAAATGTTTAGATGATAAATTATATGGTGACATTAAAGGAAGAACTCCTTTTGTATTGGCTGGCAGATAAGGAATTCTTATTTGACTTTCCTCCCTATCCATATCCTACACACAAATTCTAGCCTTTCACATGAGAGAGAAGCAGGTAAGAGCAGTGTCAAAATAATCATGTCAGCTGTCAAAATAAATTATCCTCTGGGACTTCATAAATATCAATAAACAGCCAACAACTAACAAAAAATTTTTCTTAAAAAAACCAAAAACATGAGTAAATATAAAAAGTGTAAGACATGACCCAGGGGCCCTCCCTGGTATTGCAAGAGGTTTAAGCTCAGCACTATAAAGCTGTCCATAGTAGAATAAGTTTGATTCCTGGTCAGGAAGGTGATCCACAGGCACAGCAGACCTTGAATAAGAGGGAACTGCCTTTCACAATCATGAAATTTGAGGACATGGTCCCTTGAACACAAAATAATTTAATTTCAAAAACGATGACCTTGATACATCAAGAAATGATAATCAACAAATTCCAGGTTCCTTACTTAAGAAAACAACATATATATATATATATATATGTATATATTCTTTCACAAAATCACAAAATGATTGTTTTTTTATTCATCCTAAAAAACAAACAACAACAACCAAAAAAACCCTTAACTTACTGAAACCAATAATCTAGGTCTCCTCCAGAGGGGTTCTGAATAGAAGAATCAGATCACACAGAATCAAGTTTCTATCAGTAGTTGATCACTAATAATTTACTTTTACATTCTGGATAAATACACATATTACCAAAGAGGACTGTTTTATCTTTTTGTACAGTTATTTTATTTAATCCAGATACACTGTCTCAGAGACATCAAGCTTTAGAAACTGGGTGCTCTCATAAAAGCTTGGCCTTTCTTGTCGAAACCCTAAAATTAAAGAGATTTGCTCAATCTGTTAAGGCTCAGAAAGGTTAGGGAGAATTTAAGCAGAAGTCCTCTCGGCAAAGAAAAAAAAAGACCAAGTGCTGCTCGCACCAAAACACACATTCAATAGCGCTTAGGAGACTGTTTCTTTAACACTACCAACACGCCCCCCTTTTCCTGGAAACTGTCATTTCCTGAATCGAAACATCTGAGAGAAACAAACGTTAGCAAGACTCCTGAATAGCTGAAGCCGGGCAGGAGACAGGCACTGGGCCGACACCCCTGAGCGTCAGCCCCTCCGCCAGTCCGGGATCAACCAAGTTATGCGAAGTGACTAACAACTCGTGACAGCCCTAGGCGCTGGACGCCGGCCATACCTCCACCTCTTTCAGGTCCCAAAGCTCCAGCAGGCAGGCAGCCTGGCCCTCATTCCTAGATCAAATTAGGAGACTTTCATCTGGGGTCCTGCAAGAGTCCTGGCCTCATCTCGGGTCGGGATGGGAAAGGGGATTTCATCAGAGGCCAAATGCTACAAAAGAACCAGGTTTTCCCATCCAGCCCTCTCCTGGGCTGGAGTTTCGAACAGGCGAGAAAACCTTCGAAATGGGTCAAAAATTATGCAATTTCGGAGTGCACAGGTCAGATGTCACAAAGGATCCGCCCACCCCCACCCAGGCTCCTGAAGGCGAATTTCGGGACACAGGACTTCAGTCAGAAATCAGAGGACATAGACCACCTGGAGCAGATTACCGGGTCAGAGTTTGGGGGAATACTCAGTTCTGAGATCAAGGATCACGAAAGAACCTCCCCTCCTCACCGCCCCAGAAGGTGCCAAAGGTTATCAAGAACTAAGGAGAGTGGCGGCCACCGTACCTGAGAAGAGGCCAGCGCCTGCTGGAACTGCTGCTGCTCCTCGCTGATCTTTTGCTTCAGTTTCCTGAACATGGCGCAGTGCGGGGGTCCTGAGTATGAAAGAGACCTGAGGGGCGAATGCCCGGGGAAACCCAGCCGCGGCAGCAACTACGGCTACTCTAGACCAGGGGCTGCGGGGGCCGGGCCTCGCTGCCTCCTCCTTGTTGGACTCGCAGGCGGATCAGGACACTTGTCATGCGGGTGTCGGCGTCGCCGCCGCCGCGTTTCTTTCTTCTGGTTGCCACTGGCTGGTCTCGGCCCCCCATCCAGCCACGGCAGCGGCGGCGGCGGCGACAACGGCAGCAGGTGAACCGTGTGCCAAAGGCGCCTGCGCGCCCTACGTGGAGCTGGCCCGGGAGGCTCTACGGAACGCCGGAGGGGACAAGCGCGGTGTGGGGCCCGCACATGCGCGCTCCGGGGTAGCGTCCGCGAGCTGCTGCGCCAAGGCAGTGCTGGAATCCTCGCTGGAGCGGAGGAATGTGTTTAGAGCCAAAGTGAAGACTGATGTGAGTATTACATTGGCGCAGTCCCGGGCTTTGGCTCTGTGAAGTCAGGGTTGGAGGGAGCCGCTTCTAACCGAGGACGGGGATGGGGGTGTGGGGATTTATTTATGCATACAAGAACTGGGGTACAGGCCAGAGGTGCAGGGCGTGAGAGGAGACACCAGAAGCAGAGTGGGGAACAGAACAGGCGGATCTACAGAAGTACACTGCTGAGGGGAGCAGCGGGCGATGCAGGAGATGTCTGCTGGGCCAAGTGGGTCACCTCCCGGGTGGGGATCGAACTCCTGCTGGCTGTAGTGGCTGTGGACAGTTTCATAGTGCTGCACTTTAACTCCGTGTGCCACTAGGGAGACCGCTCAAAGAAATAAATTACATGACATTAGCATCACAGAGGATAAAAAGTAGGTGAATAGAAATATACTATTGTAAGATTCTTTATATATGAAGGGATACAATGTCCATTGGAGTTAGACTGATTCAAGTTAAAGTTGATGTGGGCTCTCCCTAGTGGCTCAATGGATTAAAGCACCATAGGATGAAGCACTCTGAAGTTACTGCAGCTGGAATTTGATCCCCCCCTCCCCAAGGGAGCTGACCCACATGGCTGACCCACATGGCGCGACAGACCTCTCTTGGCCCGCCTGCAGCTCCCCTCAGCAGTGTATTTCAGTAGGTCTGCCTTTTCTGTTCCCTACTCTGTCTTTGGTGAATCCTCTCACACACCACACCTCTGCCCCATACCCCAGTTCTGTAAGCATAAATAAATCTTTTTTTTTTAATGTTGATGCATATTGTAATGCCTAGAGAAACCACTAAAAACAGAAAACAAAAGATACAGGCTTAAATTCCCACTAAATATATAAAATGCAGTGCTAAAAACCTCAAATAGGGCCCTCCCTGGTGGTACAAACATTAAAGCGCAGCACTATGAAACTAGAGGCAGCTGCATCAGTGCAAGTTAGATCCCCAACCCAGGGAGGTGACCCACATGGCACAGCAGACCTCTCCTGACCCACCCTCTGCTTCCCTCAGCAGTGTACTTTGTCAGTCTGGCTGTTCTGCTCCTCACTGCTCTGGTGAGTTCTCTCACCACCCCTGCATCTCTGGCCTGTACCCCAGTTCTGTTTACATAAATAAATAAATCTTAAAAAAAAACAAAAAACAAAAACCCACGTAACCAAAACAAAGATAGAAATGGAGAATGAAAAAACAAAGTGACAAATAGAAAACAAAGAACAAGTCAATAGATGTAAACCAATCATATGAAACTTACATTAAATGTAAATTTATCAAATACTTCAATGAAAAGGAGAGGGATATAATAACTTGTGAGGCAGCCACCTTCAATAAAAGACAGTACACGCAGGTTGAGCCATCTTCATACTATCAGCAGCTAGAGGAATAAATGCCTTAGTATTGAGAGCACTGGAGAAACCTGAGTCATAAGAAAACAGATACATCTATGATAATATCAAATAAAGTAGACTTCAAGGCAAGGAATATATTAAAGAAGAACATTTCAAAATTCAAGGAGTCTTAAAAATCAGGCCTTCACTGGTGGTGCAGGGGGTTAAAGTGCAGCACTGTGAGGCTTTCCATAGCCACTGCAGCACAAGTTCGATCCCCAACAAGGGAGGTGACCACGTTGCCTGAGGGACCTCTCCTGTCCCGACCACTGATCCACTCAGCAGTGTATTTTGGTCAGTCTGCCTGTTCTGTCCCCTACTTTGTCTTTGGTGAATCCTCTCAACTCCCATACCTCTGGCCTGTACCCCAGTTCTTGTATGCATAAATAATTTTTTTAAATCTTTAAAAAAAAAGTCTTAAAAATCCTAAACGTGTATCTACCTAATATGTAGAAGAAGCAAATACTGACAGGACTGAAAGGACAAACATGTAAACTTCCATTTATAGTTGGAGATAGTAACACAGCTCTTTCGATCTTTAGTAGAACAAATAGACAAAAAAATGTCAGTAAGGATATAGAGGATTTTGGTCAGCCAGTTCTGCTTAAATGGTGTTTCAAAAGCTATTCCCAGCAACTGCTAACATTAAATGCCAAAAATGAGGAAAATGAAGATTCATATATTAAGCATTGATAATATTTACTGAAAATATCCACATATAAGTGGACCAACCCTGTGGTTCAAGGGTTAAATTCTTTTACTCTGAGTAAAAGTGAAGTGAGTAACAACAGATCTGGAAGAGATGGAAGTACTAGACAGTATACTCTATTTTATGAGAAAACTTTGAAACTTAACATGTTTTTAATATTTACTTTTGCAAAAGAACTTGGTAGAGCCAAATAAATCAAAATGGTTGGAAAACCCTCTCATGAAAAAAAAAGATCCACACATCAGTATCTAAATTTAGACTATGACTCTCCCTGGAATTTAGCCTGTTTTTCAGCCTGGAAACTTTTTTTTTCTCTTTAGTAAATTGGAAGTTTGAAGGGGAGTGTGCTTTATCTCTATCTACACCTGTGTAGACAGAAAGTAAAGAAACAAGGGGAAAGTGAAAGGCTACATTATTATTGACCTGGTTTGACAAATATGTACAAAGAAGAGCAAAAAAAATAGGTTTCTCAGAGTCTTATGATCTCAGTGACAAAAACTAGAAACTGATCTCAGGCCTTCTTGCCCTTTATCCTGGTCTGCAACTGTTGAATGTCTAACACTTCCTTCTCTGAGACACACCCTACCCAATTTTTTTAAGCAGTTCAATTTAATTTTTAACAGTCTTGTACTTTGTTTACATGACTTGCCCCAGGGATGTTTATACAGCTGATGACTCATAAATTAAGTGAGAAAAATCAGCTAGAGGAGAAACCCAACACTGGGCTAAGAAAAAAAATCTTATTTTAAGAATGAGGCTGCTTGATAACAAAGAGGAGGATTGCTTAGGTAGAGATGAGAAGGTGTCAAATTCACTGCCTTCTTAAGTGACTACATGACAATCAGATTCCAAAGTAAAAAAAAATTTACCCTTGCAAAAGTTGGATAGTATGTTTGTGTTTGTGTTAAAAGAAAAAAAAAAAAACAAAGCACTGGCCTCACATTCAAGTTTTTTTTTTTTTAAGATTTTTTATTTATTTATTTATGCATACAGAAATGGGGTACAAGCCAGAGGTGCAGGGGCGGTAAGAGGATTCACCAGAGACAAAGTGGGGAGCAGAACAGGCAGATCAAAGAAACACACTGCTGAGGGGAGCCGTGGGCAGGTCAGGAGAGGTCTGCCATGCCATGTGGATCACTGCCGGGGCCAGGGATTAAACTCGCACTGAAGCAGCTGTGGCTAGCTTGCAGTGCTGCATCCTAACCCGTTGCACAACCTGGGAGGGCCCCAAGATTTATTTTTTTAATGTTTGAGATGTTGTATAGGTGGGTTCTTCCTACATGAAAAGGCCTGGTGTCTAGGTGTCTAATGAATAAACATAAACAGTAAACTCAGTTAGTTAGGTTCAAATTCCAACTTTGCCACTTATTTGTTCAGTGATGGAGGAAAATTCTGTATATTTCAATTTCTGTATCTGTAAAATGAAGACATGTAATTGTGCCCACTATAAATTTCCTATAAGGGTTATATGAATGTTTGGATAATAAGTTGGTATCTTTAAAAAAAAAAAAAAAGTTGGGTTCATTCTTTGTACCTGAAAAATGAAATCATTAAAGTATTAAAAGAACGCATGGGGATTTATTTTATAAACTCAGTGTCTAAAAGCCTTTCAAAGTATAACACATAACAGAAACCATGAAAAAACACATAGTTCTTAATAATTTTTTCTTTATTAAGTTAAAGTTTTCTAACATGGTACATGATTCAGAAATATAGGGTCCACCTCTTTAGGTGTACAGTACCACATCCCAGCCACCACCAAGCTATCATAGATTACCAGTGTATATAAAAGGGATTCTTTTTAAATTCTGCAAATATTTTTAATTCTAAAAAAATGCTATAATGAAAGTACCATGTTATGAAGCTCTCCGAAGCCACAGCAGTACAAGTTCGATCCCTGGCCAGGGAGCTGATCCACATGGCGTGACCCGCCTGCTGCTCCCCTCGACAGTATATTTTGTCAGTCTGCCTGTTCTGCTCCCCACTCTGTCTCTGGTGAATCTTCTCACCACCCCTGCACCTGTGGCCTGTACCCCAGTTCTGCAAGCATAAATAAATAAAAATCTTTTTAAAAAATATGATAATGAAATGTACAATTCATTGTTCTACAGTTTTTATGTGAGCTTTATAAATGGAGCTTGCATAATATTGAGCAAAAGAAGGAAAACAAATGAATATATAACACATGATTTCATACAAACAAACTAACCCAGAAGCCAAGGAAACTATTGTCTTGGGATGTAGGAATAGGCATACCGATGAGCAGGGGGCGTTGAAAAGAGACACTGGGGTACAGGTAGCATTATTTGTTCATGGTGGTCACATGGATGTATTTGAATTAACTGGAGTTCCTGATTGTATGGTAAGTAGGCAGACCTCAAACGTGTTAAAATTCACAGAACTGTACATGCAATGTAAAATTCAATTCTACTACATGTAAATTTTAAAATAATAATTGTTTGCCACAAACAAATAGCATAAAGAGGTTTCTGCTCTCACACTGGCTGTGGAGCCTGCAGGGGCTCTTCATCAAGCAGAACCAAGCTCCTCCGGCAGCCACATCATCAGCGCCAATGACCTTGAGTCCCTCTGGATGAGTGTGACCGAGGATGACAAGGTGACAACAGCAAGGGCCCCCTCTTGCCTCCATCTCAGGATAGAATACAACTTTAACTGAGTTTCTAAAGGGGAACA